TGATTTGCTCGAGTACGATTGAGTACCCCCTTGCCTCTGCTTTGGTGAATTTTGTATGCCGGTGGCTCCCTGATTGGACTCTGCAGCCTCCCGTACCAATTCTGGTTTTTTCTATACCACTCATCACCTTCTAATATCATCATTGTCATCACTGTCATCCCGTTGATCGTCAAATTACTCAAGTGGGTGCCAGTAATGTCTCTCTTCCTCCCAGCCCTGAGATTTTAGTAGCCTCTTCTTACGTGTCTTTTCCCAACGATTGGTGGCTTTTTTAGGGTCAGGGGAATGAGACCTGTTGTCGATACTGTATTTGGCATATCGAATATGCCATGGAGAGCTTGCCAAGCTCTTCCCGTGCAGGTGGGATACTCTCAGGAGCTTGCTGGGATCTCCGAGAGGCATATATTTATATATATATACATATATATATATTTTATGATTTGTTGCCTGCTGTCTGAACCCCATCATATGGTATAGTAATAGTGGAAAATGGGTAGGAAGTGTCTTATAATGTATCTTATAATGTGTCTGGAAAGTGGCCTGAAGCGTGGCAGTGGTTGGGTAGTGGAGGTTGGCTGCTAGGGTTGGGTCCTGTGGGGTGGGGAGGGCTTTCACCCACCCCATAGCCTGGCGAGGAGTTCCTTCTAATATACTGCATAATTTTTTGCATGTCTTGTTTCTTATTATTAGGTGTCAGTCAAAACATTGTTTAAGAAGCAATATTTAAAGGGCCTAAATTTTGTCTCCATTAATTTCTACATCTCAGGGATCTAGAAAAGTGGGAGAGTATAAATATGCAATTAAATAACTTGAATGGTTGAATTTTTGATCTGGTGGTCATAAAGTTCAACAGACTCAATACTTAGACAATTATTTAACATTTGTTGTAAAATATCTTTAAAGGTACTATTATTGTCCTATTGATGTTGTTTACATGATTATTTCCAACTATTAATTATAACCAACACAATTCAAAGTATTTTCTTAGTCATCATATTATGGAATACTTACTCTACTTACAGTCACTTGATAATTTCTGATTATCCAATCTTTAAAATGATTTGAAAATGACCATTTCTTTTTGTTCACATGCTGATTTAACTTGTTTTAACTTCTAATTTATTGTTATTCTTACATGTATGGCAGTCTAGATTTATATATTTTTTTCTTAAATTTTTATTAGTGAAACACCATGAGGTACAGTTGTAGACTTACAAATTTTTGTGCTTGGGTTTCAGTGATACAATGATCAAATACCCATCCCTCCCCCAGTGCCCATTCTCCACCACCACCAGTCCCAGTATTCCTCCCACCCCCAATCCCTTCATCCCACCCTACCTCTGTGGCAGGGCATTCCCTTTTGTTACCTCTCTCCTTTTGAGTGTCTAGATTTATATTTAACTATAAACTGAACATCTTCCATTTAGAAAGATGTTCTTTATATTATTACTTGCAATATCAAACTAATTCTAAAATTCAAATCTTCTAGTTACCTAAATGTGTTTTTACGGCTGGAGCGATAGCACAGCGGGTAGGGCGTTTGCCTTACAAGCGGCCAACATGGCCGACCCGAGTTCGATTCCTCCACCCCTCTCGGAGAGCCCGGCAAGCTACCGAGAGTATTCGATATGCCAGACACAGTAACAACAAAGTCTCCAATGGAGACGTTACTGGGCCCGCTCGAGCAAATCGACGATCAACGGGAGGGCCTTTACCTATATATATATATATATATATATATATATATATATATATCAGTTAGTAAAAACGCATTATAAAGGTTACAAAGGTTACAACACATTATAAAGTAATAGATTTCCAAGCAGAGGTCTTTTTTTTTTGGTTCAAAACAATTTCCTTGCAACAGTCTTTAGAAGCAATTACTACTAAATGTTTTAGAGTTACTAGAATAATATAACCATTAACCAAGTAGGGGTGAAAGTTGCTATTGAATAAAAAAGAAGTTCAGAGATCTGTTATCTTCACCATTCCTCACCATTAGTACCTCCTCTTAGTATGCTTTTGGTTGTCTGTATTTGTATGTATGAACATATAACCTGTATGTAGACATTCACAAAGTTGTAGAGATGTTTTCATTAAGTTTGTGTTTGTGACTGTCACTTACAGAATTGCTTTCAAAGTCAGTGATAACACAGACATTTTACATAGTGACTAATTCCTGTGGTGCATATCAGTAGTAACTCAGTAGTTATTCATGCACAAAAATGTATAATCAGTAAATAGTTTGGAGAGTTATCTCTTTTTTAGACTTGAACAGTTCCACTCAAACTAAAATGACTGGATTATTTCTAGTAAACACAAAACTGAAAACCTTTTAGAGTCTTGTAGTCTTAATCTTTTAAAGCAAATTAAGTCCTTTAAAAGGATGTCTTAGTTTCTTCTATTTGTCAGTAATGTATTACTTTAAATTTATCATCTTGCTTTCACCTTATTTTTATCAAAATAATGCTTGCTACATCAGGCATTTTAATTTGATTTATAGTACTTGGTTGAAAATGTGAGCAAGTCAAATTTTCTAAGTATTTAAAACCACCTTAATTTCAAAATAACCCTTCTTTGTAGCAAAGTTAGCAATATTATACATTACTATCTTCTCCTCAAGATTAAAATAAAATTTACTCTTTCATACTTTGCAGTTATTTAACTTTTAAACCTTATAAAGTATATAACCTTTAGCATTATTTCAGTGTGCATCAGTCTTTTGTGAACATGTATTAATTTTAGGTCATGTTTCAGGCATTTGACCAGATCATTAAAGATGCATACATGAGAAAAATGGAACCTCTTCTCAGAAAGCTCATTCATCTGCTGTTAGATATAAAATGATGGTGAATAGTTTGACATTAATAATAATAAAATGTGATACCTTCTAGCATTTATTCTGTGCCTACAGTACAGGCACTTCATATTTTTTTCTTTTTGGGTCACACTCAGCAATGCACAGGGGTTACTCCTGGCTCATGTACTCAGGAATCACTCCTAGTGGTTGGGGGACCATATTGAATGCTGGGAATCGAACCCAGGTCGGTCGCGTACAAGACAAACACCCTACCCACTGTGCTCTCACTCCAGCCCAGCACTTTATAATTTAATTAACTTAAAAATATACATGAGTCTTTATTATTTTTACATTTTGTAGAAGAATAGACGCCTAGCTGACAAATGGCTTGATCACAATCAAGCTATCAGGTGTCTGAGTTATGATAATAAATTTTTAATACTCCAAACACCATATTCATATATACTAAAAGAAAGCTTCTTGCATGTCAAACATAATGCTATAAAAATGGTAATGTATGAGGGGGGGATATGGGAGGAAGCATGGGAACGTTGGTGGAGGGAAGTTGACACTGGTGGTGGGATCGGTGCTGCAATATTGTGTGTCTAAAGCCCAGCTGTGAATAACTTTGTCAATCATACTGCTTAATAAATATGTGGAAAAAGAAGAAAACAGCACTAGTAATTAATAGCTATTTAAATATCAGGGTTTAATTAATATGCTACTTTTTTTATAATGGAAATATAGCTTGTGGTCCTGTGTGTGGCTGTTCTGTGGCTCTGTTTTTGGTGTTCAAAGATCCCTTGAGGAAAAAAAATGTTAAGAAATATATTGCTTTGTGAAATCTATGTTGCCTCAAAAATGGTAATATATGGGTTCTGTACTCAAATTGTTCTTCTGTTTTCTATGAGAGAAAATAACTGTGTTTATAAAAACATCATAATTTTTAGTCTATCTCTGTCTAAACCCATCATACCGCATTTTTGGTTAAAAGCATTTTATGCTAATAAGAAGATAGTTCAGCCACACATTGGACAGGAATATGGTTGTTATTTTCCATTCTTAATTTGGTCTGTAAGAGATTTTGTCTCAATGTCTAATAGCTGGTGTCACTGGCCATTAATTCATGCAGTTAGCTACCTGTGCCTATTGTGATACCTTTCCATTTACTTATTTTTTGGTTAAATATTTAACAAAAAAACTGGAAAGATGTTAATTTTTTTTCTTTGACCATATTTCATTTGCTTGAGCGGGCCCAGTAACGTCTCCATTGGAGACTTTGTTGTTACTGTGTTTGGCATATCAAATACTCTCGGTAGCTTGCCGGGCTCTCCGAGAGGGGCGGAGGACTCGAACTCGGGTTGGCCATGTTGGCCGCTTGTAAGGCGAACGCCCTACCACTGTGCTATCATTGATTCTCACAGTTTACCTCTGGCCATGAGTTCAGGGATCGCTCTTGGGTGGGTGGGTAGCTAAGGTACCAGGTGCAGTACCGTGGATTGAACCCCGGTCAGCTGTGCTCAGTCAACCTACTGCCTCAAATTTAGTTAAAATTTTCATTTCTAAAGTGAAAAATTGTAATCATCATGAATTCATTTCAGATTAAATAGGAACATTTTCTGTTAACCCCCCAAGTCATTAAGTCTACCTCTCAGTCTATGTTATCCTGCCTCAAAGGTCCTGAAAGTTCCTTCAACTTCATTATATATAGTGCAGTCTCAACATTTTTTAAAATTTTTATTAGTGAAACACCGTGAGGTACAGTAGTATAGTTACAAATTTTTGTACTTGGGTTTCAGTTATACAATGATTGAGTACCCATCCCTCCACCAGTGCCCATTCTCCACCACCAATGATCCCAGTATCCCTCCCACCCCCCTATCCCTCCCCATTTCACTCTGTCCCTGTCCCTTTGGCAGGGCATTCCCTTTTGTTCTCTCTCTCTCTTTTCTTTTGGGTGCTGTGGTTTGCAAAAGACAGCCTCAACACTTTCATAAAATTTTTTGTAACCCAAGAGATATAAATTTCAGTTGCTACAAGCACTACTGTTTTAATAGTTTGAGAACATGCTTGTCAAGTAGCTGTGTATATTTTTGCAGAGTTAATGATGTAATAGTAACTGCTATGAATATTTTAAGATAAGCACAGTTTAAATCTTATGAAATAAAAGAAAATTAATACTGATATTTTTAAATTTCAGTTTATTGATGGTCGACTGGCAAAACTAAATGCAGGAAGGGGTTTTTCTGATGCATTTGAAGAAGAGATCACTTCAGGTGGCTTTTGTGGAGGAGGTAAAGTTACAGGGAAAATAATTTTAATTTGGTTACTAAAGTGAAATACTAATTGAAAAAATGAATTATAGATCATAATTCTTTTTCTGAAAGACAATTGTTTTAATCTTCGCTATTTGTATACTGTCTTTCATAATTTAATATTTTCTCCTAAAATATACAGTCTAATACATTTATCATCTTATAAACTCCCTAATGCAAACTTATTTTTCTTGATACAGATTGTATAAGGCATTAAGATAGTCTCATGAAGGTAGTTGCTTGGCTTTATAATCTCGTAATACTTTTTGATATAGATGTATTAATTCATATATTTCTACATTTTATTCTGATCAGTAGTCTCTGTGAGAAACCTATGAGTGAAGACTATTTCAGAATAAGAATTAAAGAACTGAGATTATGGTTGAAATAGTAGATGTGATGATCCAAAAAAAACCATGCTGAATACCATCACTGCTTCTACATTTTTTTTTTTTTTTGCTTTTTGGGTCACGCCCGGCGCGATGCTCAGGGGTTACTTCTGGCTCTTGCACTCAGGAATTACTCCTGGCGGTGCTTGGGGGACCATATGGGATGCTGGGAATCGAACCTGGGTCGGCCGCGTGCAAGGCAAACGCCCTACCCGCTGTGTTATCGCTCCAATCCCCCCCCTTTTTTTTCTTTTTGGGTCATACCCGGGGATGCTCAGGGATTACTCCTGGCAGTGCTCGGGGGACCATAAGGGATGCTGGGAATCGAACCCATGTTTGCCATGTTGGCTGCGTGCAAGGCAAACGCCCTACCTGCTGTGCTATCGCTCCAGCCCCACCGCTTCTACATTTCTAAGTAAATATATTGTTATTTGTAAGCCTTTCCCTTTCTTTTTGCTTTTCAGCATTAGGAGAAATCTTTTCAGTTTATTTTACTAGATGTTTACCCTTGTCAGTATGAAAAACACTCCATAAAATGGAAGGAGTCATGGGAATTTATATTATATGTGTGAGACATCAATTAGGTAATGCTTCACCTTTATTTAACACAAATTATTTAAATGAAGATATTCATGGGGATATGACTCAAATAGTGGAGCACATGCTCTGTATGTGTGAGATTTGTGGTTCTGTTCCATTCCATGACTCCCAACTCTGATGGGTGTAGCCTCCACAGAGTATGCTAAGGAAAAAGCAATGTAGAGTTTTCAAACAGTATTATAATTATCTAGGCAGTCAAAAGTTTACAAACAGAAACTTTTATTGCTTCAATATATATTCCAATCCATGATAGAGCATATTGCTTGAGTCCTTGAAGTGTTTCAGTATTTCAGTCAGAATTACATGATTGTTTGGTGATAATATGCACTGTTCTAGTTATAAGGTAAACCAATAACCAAAACTCTATGGTGTGTTCATTTTCACCTGATGTAATTGATATTTCTCCCACTATCTGTAGGTTCAACTTGGAAAAATACTTAAGATTATGGAAATGCAAATGAATAGAATTGAGAAATGAAATATGGAGGGAAATAGTAATAAAGTTATATCTAATAGTAACATCCAAAAAGTTACAACCCTTCATTTTATTCTTATTTAAGATTGTGGTATCTTAAAATGCAAAAATTATTTTAATAATTTGTTCACTCAGAGGAGTCCAAACTAGCTAAATAAGTATGTTCTTAATTTGTTCATTCAGAGGAGTCCAAATTAGCTAAATAGGTATGTTCTTAATCTGGTCTAAGCCCATCATTTCACTGAAAGCATTTAGCTTTGCAAAAACCTTAGTTACTTGACTCAGAGAGTAAGCTAAATATGGAATGAGTGAGCTTCTTGCTTTTTTTTAACACATGAGTAAAAATTTAGCTCCCATAAAACATTTGTGGTAAAATAATACATGTTTTACTTTTTAACATAGACAAGTAAGCTCATTGACAAATTTGTGATATCTGTTCAATATTTTCATAACTACCCCCATTATCTTTCTGGGGCATATTGAACTGCAAATGGCCCTTGTGAGAATAATGGGGGCTGAACTTGGACCCTTCTATATAGTTCAGTTATATAGTCTTAGCCATTGGTCCAGGCACCTCTCTAATAGAATAGAGTTACATGGTTCTTCTACTGGTGAGGGGCTGTGGTCAGTAAAATTTTTTGTTAAAAGTCTTGCTATTTAAGATAGGAGGCAGTGGGTCAATGTTTTACTAAGAGACCACTCCATTTCCAATACAACTTAGTGCCAGCTACTTTGCTCCCATTTTTAAAATAAAAAAGGTTTGGAACTCAGTCTTTGTAGAAGGAGCTAATACTGATCCAAAAGTAAATCATAGTTTGACAAGTTTCAATTTTAGTCTGTATAAAAGAGTATATTTAAAATTATCCCTGACTCTTGGAATTTTAAATTATTATGTTTTGGTTATTATCTTAGGGCTGCAAATAAATTATTTTAGAAGAAAAGTAACCTGTAGAATTTTAAGTAAAATGATGAACAATGTAATACAAATTAGTATTAGTCTCATAAGGAAGGATATATGTAAACGTATATGCATATACATACATAAATATGTTTAGTAGATATGTTAGTAGACATTAACTCCAAACATTTGTTATTTAGACTTCCTTTGTGATAAGAAAGACTTCTCCCTATGTTGTGATATTCAACCATTCTTCAAAGAGCAAACTTTTGTAGCATCAGTGTTTCTCATAGGGTAATAATGGTATAATTGTTTATGCTTATTAAATATTAATGTCTTGCAGAAACCTTAAAAAGAGATTCAGAAATACCATTGCATTTAATTCTCACATAATCTTAAGAGGTGCTTTGATTATCTTCATTTTTATGAGGGTATTCATCTCAATAATTAGATCAAGGTCATAGTGCTTACAAAAAGCCAGACTCTGAACTCAACATGTGTCTGCCTGGCATCAAAGCTTTAACTTTAATGACTGTAATGTATTGCTTTCTTACTAAAAAAGATCTTCTTTATTAGGAGAGATCCGATAAACAGAAGCATACTCCATTCTTTTCTTATTGGCTAAAAGAACAACTTTTGCCTATTCTGATTAAAAGATTTTTTTTTAGCTAAAACCCTCAGGAAAATCACCATAGGAGAAATAAAGATTCACTAAAACTGAAAAAAAAAATCAAAGTACTTTAAGGAAAAAGAAGATTTTAGAGAAATGTCTAATTTTTCTTCTTTCTATGGCATTTCAGTGGCAGTTTGTATACTATTTTTTGTTGCTTATGTGCATGGTTAAGATAAAATGAGTATGCAAGTCGTGGCACTTTATAATTATTGCATCTCTGATGAAAAACATACAGTGAAGGATGGTCAGACATAAAATCATCTTATTAACATTGCATCTAGAACTGTGGCTAAAGGCTGAATACATGAAGATTTTTAAAAACTGCTTTCTAACCTGGGGTGGGGGGGGGTGGTCCTTGTGAATCACGACTGTGAAAGGTGATCATTGTTACACTTGAATTTTTCAGTAGACCTTTGTAGGAAATTTAACCTTTACGTTTAAGAGGGGCTGGAGTGATAGATAGCACAGCAGGTAGTGCATTGGTCTTGCATGTGGCCAACCCAGATTCAATTTCTCCATCCTTCTCAGAGAGCCAGGCAAGCTACGGAGAGTATCTTGCCTGCACAGCAAATCCTGGCAAGCTCCCGTGATGTATTCGATATGCCAAAAACAGTAACAAGTCTCACATTTTATTGTGAGTTGTTACTGGTACCCGCTCGAGCAAATTGATGAGCAACGGGAGGACAGTGCTATACAGTGCTATACGTTTATGAGAACTGTGTAAAAACAGAAAGGATAAGTAGAACAGAGAATGCAAGTATATAACCAAAATATTGATCTATAGAAAAGTATCTAAGAACTATTGAGTAATTAAAAAGTTTTCTGTATGCTTTATTTAAAATAAAACTAGTCCTTAAATTTATGTCTAGTTATCTAAGCTTAAAAAGATAAACAATTTTAGATTGATTTTATAAAGAAGATGACTACTTTTCATTAATACCTTTTGTTTCCTTATTAGTTTTACTATACAATATGATTGGTCTTATTTTGCGTCTATTTCTCTTTCAGTGAGACACCAAAGTACAAAGTAATTTGATAAGTAGCAATACACTTTAGTACCATTTTTGTATTCTCATTGAGCATTCTATATCAGTTTGTCCTTTTGACTAGTAACTGGAAAATGCTAGAATTTAAATAAATAGGGTTTCAAGAGAAAGCTTTGCATAAATAATAGATATTATGCCATTCAGTGTGAGAAAATCACTAAGAACAATGTTTAGAATTTCCATAAAAGTGTCTATTATTTCCTTAATCTGGTTACTTTACATAAAGCCCCCAAATAACTGTTTACTTGTTGTTCAGTTTATTTTTAGGAAGATAAACTTTCAAAAACATTCTGGGGGACTGGAGAGATAGTACAGTGGTAGGGTCCATTCTGTAATTCATTATTAAATGATAAATTTTCTGGAAATCGCAATCTTCCATATTTTCAATACAGACATTTCAAGGGAATAGTAGTCTGTCCTTCCTTCCTTCCTTCCTTCCTTCCTTCCTTCCTTCCTTCCTTCCTTCCTTCCTTCCTTCCTTCCTTCCTTCCTTCCTTCCTTCTTTCTTTCTTGCCGGAGAAATAGCACAGCAGGTAGGGTGTTTGCCTTGCACGCAGCCAACGGAGGAATCAAACCTGGGTTGATTCCTCCGCCCTTCTTGGAGACCCCCGCAAGCTAACAAGAGTATCCCACCTGCTCGGCAAAGCTACCGTGAGGTGTTCGATATGCCAAAAACAGTAACAACAAGTCTCACAATAGAGACATTACTGCTGCCCACTCGAGCAAATCGATGAACAACAGGAGGACAGTGCTACCTTGCTTTTCTTTTAGGGTCACACCCAGCAATGCACAGGGATTACTCCTGGCTCTGCACTCAGGAATTACTCCTGGCGGTACTCAGGGGACCATATGGGATGCTGGGAATCAAACCCGGGTCAGTCATGTGCAAGGCAACTGCCCTATCTGCTGTGCTAGTGCTCCAGCCCCCAAGGGAATAATAGCCTTTAAAAAGCAAACTGCATTTTTCCCAAATTGTACCACAATTCTCTGTCATCTTTAGCTACTTAATTAGGTAAATCCGTTCCTCTGTCACATAACTCTGGAGAACTATTTATTGAATCAGTTTCTACTCAAGGTATCCTTATAGGACAGCCCATTTTGCTTTTTTAATTTGTTTTGAAATGACATAGAGGAAATATATGCAACCTAAATTTTATTATAAGTTTAGGGGGCTGGAACAATAACACAGTGGTAGGGCGTTTGCCTTGCACGTGGCCAACATGGCCGACCGGAGTTCGATTCCTCCGCCCCTCTCGGAGAGCCTGGCAAGCTACCGAGAGTATCTCGCCCACATGGCAGAGCCTGGCAAGCCACCCGTGATGTGTCCGATATGCCAAACACGGAAACAACAAAGTCTCCAATGGAGACGTTACTGGGCCCGCTCGAGCAAATCGACGAACAACGGGAGGGCCTTTACCTTTACTTTTACCTATAAGTTTTAGGAAGTTTGATACTATTTCAGGGTTGAAAAACTAGAGTGTCATAAATTTAAACCAGGGTCAACCACATGCCTGACAAGTATCTTAATCCTTGTACCATCTCCCTGGCCCATTGGATATAATAGTGAATGTAACATAGAGCTGAATACATTTTTGCTTGATTTTGATTGGGGATTCAAAGGCTGACAGCTGAAAAGAAAGTCTTGAGAGTTGCATCATTCTACCTGTGTTTTATGACAGCAGAATTATCTGCTTTAAGAATTTTTAAGCTTGTTTTAGAGATCCTGTGTCTGACTTATTTTTATTGTGGAAGTATTTTAGTATTTAAATCTAACTGAAGTTACTTATTCCTAAATGTTATAGGACATTGAGTAGTTGTTATACATCTTTTTCTTTTTGCTTTCTGAAATCATTGCAATATGAACAAAGTACTATATCTGGAACAGAATATATGATATCCAGTTTTATTAAGTAATATATTATCACCTTTTGTTTTAATAACCACAATTATCTACTATCCTAAATGTTGTACTTGTTTCATTTTTCTTTGGGTAATATATTTATAACTTGGATTTACTAGAGAACATTTTTGGAATTGTGATTGCACTTTTTTAATTGTATTAAAATAAAATTTGTTAACAAAAATTTTAAAACTCAAATATCATCTTTTTTTATTGCCCTCAGTTTCATTGTATCTCTACATTTCTAAATTCCCTTTTAGTTTTTTCTTTCTTAAGGTACTTGAAATACTTTCAAATTAAACTTAAGGAAAGTCAAACATTTACAAAATATGGACATAAATCTTTGAATAATTAGTTTAAAAGATATTTGAGTTTTGAATTTCAAAAAATAAGATATTATTCCTGAAGATAATGTCTGAAGATGGTAGTGTAAAAGAAGACAGAATGATGTAAATTGTCTTCTTTTAAATACTAATTACTGTATCCTTTTAAGAATTAGAAAATTTATTTCCCATTGTAGTACCATTGCTTCTTTCACAATATTATACATAACTGTAGCACTGCACTGTCCTCCCGTTGTTCATTAATTTGCTCAAGCGGGCCCAGTTAGGACTCCATTGTGAGACTTGTTGTCACTGTGTTTGGCATATTGAATATGTCAGGGATAGGTTGCCAAGCTTTGCTGTGTGGGCAAAATACTCTCGGTACCTTGCCGGGCTCTCCAAAAGGGGTGGAGGAATTGAACCTGGCTCGGTTGGGCCAACAGCTTGCAAGGCAGACACCCTACCGCTATGCTATTGCTCCAGCCCATTGTACATAAACAGAATTTTATTACAAAGGTCCTGAATTTTGGTTTATGATTTAATTTTGATGAAATATATCTGACTTCTTACTTTTGTGTATTCTAGGAAACCCAAGAACATATCAACAGTGGGTACATACAGTCAAGGTAATAATGACCCTTCAAAATGTCTTCTTCCCAGATTACTTCTATGAATATCAACAGATTATAAGCATAATAGACTAAAAATTTGAATGTGAAATAGTACTATAACATTTCAGCATTTTATGATAATTTGGCTTCAGATTTTACATATACATATATGTTTTCATTTCAGAGAGGAGGTGCCCTGTTCAACTCTGCAATGACCAAAGCAACTCCTGCCGTACGAACAGCATATAAATATGTAAGTTTCCTTTAGATATTTGAGAATTCTATTTATAAAATTCTACAAACTTCTGATAAATGTCCAGAATATTTATCATTTTTTAAAAAACAATATTGACCAAAGTAGATTCAATGAGTGATATTGTATCTTTGTTTAGAATACAAAGCGAAGGTATTTCCTGTATGTGATCTGATACTCTCTAGTGTGTGTATGTGGGGCTGGAGATGAACCCAGGTCCTCAGACCTGCAAGGCAGCTGCTCTCCTACTGAGCTACATCCATTTTCCTTATGCTGCGTTCCCACCCATCCCCGTGCCAAAAAGAAAAAAAAGACTATCTTATTTCAGAGCTATTAGAAAAATTGTTCATGAAACTGAAAAACAGTCCATGTGAAGTGATGTTTTATAAGATTTATTTTTCTTTTAACAACATATTTTCAGTTCTCTGGTGTATTTGAGGCTTATGTAAGAGAAATTGGTTTACTTGGTTTGCGGCCAATGCCCAAGCTACTCAGGGCGTACTCCTGGCTCTGTATTTAGGGATCACTTTCTATGGTTCTTGGGGACCATGCAGTGTAAGGAACCAAAGCAGGGACTATCATGCAAAGTATGTGTGCAAGTCCTTGCGCTCTCTCTCTGTAGGGGTCTGCTTTGCTCTTCTTGGGCAGTTACTTGGAGCATTCATTTCTTGACTTTTCCTATTACTTGGGGCACTCATTTCCTGACTTTGGTTTATCTAATAAACTCCTGGTTTAACTTCCCTGAAAAAGTGTCCTTCTTGGCCCCTTAATAATAAGGCTTCTTGTTTTCATACAACCTACGGATAGACCCTTTTTCTGCCCACTTTTTTTCTGTACACCAGTATCAGGGTAGTTATTTCTTGAGAAAGAAGGTAGTGGGTTGGTACTCAGTGAAGGTTTTTTAAAATTCATGGTAAGGCATAGTCAATCTATATTTCTAAAAATATTTAGGGGAATAATTTTTATTTTACTAGACTTTATCTTCAGGGCCTGTGATGTAGTTTAGTGGTAAATATCTTACCTTATATGTGTGAAACCCTGGTTTCAATCCCTGGCATTGAAAAAGAAAAAGTATCATGTATCATTAGATTTTTTTTCTGTAAATGAGTGAATATGGTTTAACTAGTAATAGAATGCTAAATTTTAATGATTTTTGATAATATTTTAAAATTTTCCTGTTGTCAACATTTTTATTTTAGAAATCCATTAAGACTGTATTTTATACTAAAGAACATCTACAAAATAGATTGAACCTTAGTAGCAGAATTCTGATCTGTTTGAAGACATACTGTTGAAAAAAGGGGGTTATCATTTTAATTTGAAACATCATTAAACCTTGAAACATCAGCCTCTGCATTTTGTTTGATTTTTCTTGGATATGCTATCTCACTATAGACGCCATACAAAAATCCAAACTAATATTGAACCTTTTTACTCAGATTCAACTTATTATTCTTTTTTTAAAGACATTTATTTATTTTTTAATTTTTTTTTGCTTTTTGGGTCACACCTGGCAATGCACAGGGGTTACTCTTGCCTCATGCACTCAGAAATTACTCCTGGCGGTGCTCAGGGGACCATATGGGATGCTGGGAATTGAACCTGGGTCGACCGCGTGCAAGGCATATGCCCTACCTGCTGTGCTATCTCTCTAGCCCCATGGAATCTGTGTTTATTTATTTATTTATTTAATTAGTGAAACACCATGAGGTACAGTTATAGATTTACAAATTTTTGTGCTTGGGTTTCAGTTATAAAATGATCAAGTACCCATCCCTCCACCAGCACCCATCCTCCACCACTACGGGTCCCGGCATCCCTCCCACCCCCCATCCCCTCCATCCCACTCTGCCTCTCTGACATGGCATTCCCTTTTGTTCTCTCTCTCTACTTTTGGGCCCTGTGGTTTGCAAGAGAGGCATTGAGTGGCAGTCATGTTTGGTCTATAGTCTACTTTCAGCTTGCTTCTCCCACCCTGGGAGGATCCTCCCAACACCCTTTTACTTGGTGCTCTCTTCTCTATCTGAGCTTCCTTTTCTGCTAGCACATGTGGCTGGCCTCATGTGACTTCATGGAGCAAAATTCCTGGTACTAATCTCGGCCACTCCTGGGTGTTAGTCTCCCATTTTGTTGCTTTATGTTCCCCAGATGAATGCAATCTTTCTGTGTCTATCCCGCTCTTTCTGACTCATTTTGCTTAACTTGGTACTTTCCATGTAGTACTACTTGTATGTGAATTTCATGACATCATCTTTTCTAACAGCTACGTAGTACTCCTTTGTGTAGATGTACCACAGTTTCTTTAACCAGTCATCTGTTCTCGGACACTCAGGTTTTTTTCCATATTCTGGCTATTGTAAAGAGTGCTGCAATGAACAAACAAGTGCAGATGTCACTTCGACTATACTTTTTTGCCTCTCTGGGATATATTCCCAGGAGTGGTATTGCTGGGTCAAATGGGAGATCAAATTCTAATTTTTTGAGAATCGTCCTTACTGTTTTCCAAAAGGGTTGGACCAGTCAGCATTCCCACCAGCAGTGAAGGAGAGTCCCTTTCTCGCCACATCCACGCCAGCATCAGTTGCTTTTGTTCTTTTGGATGTGGGCCAGTCTCTGTGGTGTGAAATGATATCTCATTGTGGTTTTGATCTTCATCTCCCTGATGATTAATGATGTAGAGCATTTTCTGATGTGCCTTTTAGCCATTCGGATTTCGTCTTTGCGAAAGTTTCTGTTTATTTCCTCGCCCCATTTTTTGATGGGGATGGATGTTTTCTTCTTTTGGAGTTCAACCAGTACTTTGTATATCCTTGATAGCAACCCCTTGTCAGATGTGTATTTGGTGAATATCCTTTACCATTCTGTAGACTTTCTTTGTATTTTGGTCACTGTTTCTTTGGAGATGCAGAAGCTTCTTAGATGGTCCCATTTATCTATCTCTGTTTTCACTTGCTTGGCCAGTGGCGTGACATCTTTGAAGATATCATTAGCTTCAATATCATGAAGGATTTTGCTAACTTTGTCTTCAATGAACTTTATAGATTCCAGTCTGATGGAACTTGTGTTTTTAACTATTATATTTATCCAACAAATTATTTGAGTACAAGTCTCACAATGGAGATATTACTGGTGCCCGCTCGCTCAAATTGATGAACAATTGGAGGACAGTGCTACAGTGCTACTTACTAGTGATTAGTAATCACTAATCAGGTGCTCTGTTTCAGAGAATCATGGAAATACTGTCTCTACTTTTATAATTGTATCTCTCTGTGTGCACTGACCTTTGGACTTACATAGAAATATTGAATATGTAATTATTTTAAGTAACAATGATTTGGTTATATACTCAGAACATTTTAATTCTTGAATTTATTTTCTTCTTTTTCTTATGCTTACAAGAGTCATAAAGAAAACTAGAGCTGGCACTCATCAAACCTGTATTCCCTTACAAGTCTACCAAATAAAAGTAAAGAATGTAGGAGGAGACTTTTAATGAATCTCACTACATAAATTACAGAACCGTGCCTGACACTGTTCAAATCCATATACTAAGAAGAGCAGGGAGAAGGTGGACTTTAGAATATTAGAGATTATGGGCCAGAGCCAGAGTACAAGGCGGAGGGAGCTTGCCTTACATACTGCGGACCTGGGTTCTATCCCTGGCATCCCATGTGGCCCCTGTGCACTGCCAGAAGTAATTCCTGAGAGTAGAGCCAGGAGTAATAACCCTTGCATATCACCAGGTTTGTCCCCAAAAGAAAATAATAATAATAATAATCGCTCATTTAGGTTAACACAGAGTATAATCCAAATCTTGGCAGAATAGGTACAAATTCGAAGGTATGTGAACAGAAACAGTCATTGTTCAGTAGTTACACAGTTATACCTAAATGGAGATATAGGGCTATTATAGGACTCATTTGTCAGCAAAAAAAAAATCAGTATGAAGGTAGTTTTTGATTTCAAGGAATCATGGAACTATAGTATGTTTTATTTTTGCTTTTAAATTGTCTTGCACTATATATAAAATATTCTGTTTTCACTTTTCTTTAAAATATCAGTTTAGTTCAAGAAACTTTGTGAGCTGTTGCTCTATGCCAAATATTATACTGGGCACTCTAGATATTAACAGGAATGAAAGATCCTTCCCCTCAGCAAACTTAGGCATGCATTTACTCTTCCAAAAAGTAACTTTTGGTAGGACTTAAATCTACTTAATGTAGTTGAATAACATTAGCCCTTGCTTCTTTGAGATGGGAAGAAGCTGGATTTAGGAATGAAAAAGATCCAATTTTGAATCTAGACTATGCAGATGTAGCCCCTGGGAGCTGGTTTCCTCATCTGCAAAATATCATAGTAAGTATTGCCACTCGGCGAGTCTTTCTGACGATAAACAAATTCCTGTGATGTACCTAGAGTACAGTCAAATGCGGAGGAAAAACAAGATAGATACAGATAGTCCCTGGTCACTGTGAATGGTCATTGTGAATGGGCATTTGCAGTGGAACAAACACTAATCAGCTTTTATAGACGCTCTTAGCTGTCCTTATTTAAATTATAATCCACAGCAATCACAGCAGATCCAAACGCTGGTGACAGATTCCCTATGGAATGTGAGGGTAGCCTTTGCATCACTGGCCTGCAGTGGACTGTCGGTTGCTGGGCTGTCTGCTCTCTACTACCGGCGTTTATGCTCTTGTAAATCAATGTTGCCTCAATAAAAATTTAGCTAAAAATAGAAGTAATAATAATGGGAACAAAGAAATTTGTGTCGTGACTTTTAACTTTTTGCAAGAAAAACTGTACTTGAGACAGCCATAACACTAAGAGAGCTCTGCTAATCAAAACCGTGTCCTTGCCTGGAAAAGCACAGTATCAAGTGGCCTTAGCCTGCCGCTGTGAGGTGCTTGCTCTCCTCAGTCACAGCTTCCACAGGAGAAATGGCTGTTCATTATCTGGTGACTCTTTTGTGGTTTTTGTAGTTGAGAATCAAGTAGGCAAAAACAGATTAGCCTCTGTACCTTGTTTCTATGCAAATAAAATAAATCATGTTTTCATCAGCTATTTTAGGTATAATGGTAAATAGTATGACATCCCTTTGAAAATGGGTTTCTAGTCTATATTTTGTTCATTCGCTAAATTATTTGGATAGTGAGCCATTTTTTAATAAGTATGATCTCTTGTGTTTTCCTTTTCTAGGCAAAAAATCATGCAAAACAGGGGATAAAGGAAGTGAAGAGTAAGCTAAAACATAAGGTATAATAGTCTTTTCGTTCTCCCTTGATTTTTGTATTAGTTTGAAGCTTATACTTTATAAATAAAAGGAGAATTATGTTCTTAATGATTTTTAAAATATGCTTAGTTCTTTATTCAAGAATGTATTTTTCATAGCAAGCCCTGTGGCAACTCTGCCATTCTATATGCACCCACTGACGAATCTCTTTGTTGTTTGCATATTTTATCACCGCACTATGGAAATCTTCAAAGATGTTTTAGCAGGATATATGTTTTCATAAACTTGATTGCCTTGATATCAAAATTGAAATTCTTGCTTTAAGCACAGAATATGTTAAAAAAGATTATCTTTGGTATAGAATTAAACCAGAAATGCCTTTATTTGATTATATACAATCTTTCCAGTATTAGCTATTTTAAATTGAATTATATTCTTAATTTACAAAAGGTTATGTCCAAGGACGTATATTTGAATCTAAAAATAAGTACATGTACATGAATATTGATGTGTGTGTATATATGTATATACATACTTTGATTTAATTTATATATTACTTTGTTGCAGATTTTATTATCAGTTATTATTTGAATTTCTACCTTTGGAGAAAAAAAATACTTAAAACTTCCATTAAGTTGATTGAAAGCAATTTATTTTTATATAAAGTTCATTTGAGTTATCAAAAATAGTCAGATTTATTTGAAAATGAACAATATGTAACATAGAAAATGCGTTTTTCCTATGTATTTTTTAAAACTTGTACCTAAAATGTTATCTTTTTAAATTTATATTTTTTAGTTTTTCTGGTGATCAAATTACTATAGCAATTAAAGGTAAATTTTAAAATAATTCCTTTTCAACTTTAGGAAAATGATGACGATTTTGGTACCTGTTCTGGTTCTGTACAATATACACCAGTTTACACATTACATAATGAAAAGGGAAGAGACCTAGAAACACATACGCTTTCCCAGGTAAGGTTATTTACCTGTGCTGATGTTTCCAAATTCTGTAAGTACACAATTTTGATTAATTTTTTACAAACATTTTTCGACCCATTATTATTATTATTATTATTACTATTATTATTTTAATCTTTATTAAGAAAGCCAGAAGTTTTACTTAAGGTGATGAGGAGGTAGCATCTGGGTCGGCTGCAGTTAAATCAAGAAGGAAATGTGCCAGAGAGTCAGCATCCCATATGACTTGAAATTGGATATTTAGTGGCTAGAGAATGAAGGGGACATTCAAATGTTCATTTGACTCAGTGTGGATGACTGCTTCATGAATTATTTCCTCTATAATAAATAGAAGTCATATATGTGCAAAAATTATTCCATGAAAATTGCAGTAATCTATAAAAATTAGAATATGAAGAAATGTATATTGTCTTTTTCAAAAGTTTTTTTTTTAATTTGCCGTAAATATTGACCAATGTGCTTCTTCAAATAGAACTCACAGTGTAAAAGTATTCAGATTCATAGCTATGTGTTTCTGGTTTTACAAAAGTATGTACCTAAGGTTTAAAAGAAACAAAATTTATATACATCAAGTCCCATTTATAAAAGAAACTTTCATAAAGAATTCAAGAGTTGTTTATACATTTATAGAACTGGAAGCACCGCAAGCTTCATTTATTACAAACGAAGCTATGGTCCTGCTACTTATAAATAGTGGCAGAGTGGAATGAGAAACAATTTTTAATGCCCAGTTAGGTTTTTGTTTGTTTGTTTTGTGGGGGCACTCTCAACAGTATTCTGGGCTTACTCCTGGCTCTGTGTCCAGGGATAACCCCGATAGACCTCAGAGCACCTTCTGTGGTGCTTGATGTCAAACTCATGTCAGCAGTGTGCAAGGCAAGCGGCCTACCCACTGTATTATCATTCTGGCTAATTAGTTTTTCTGGATATGGATACACTGTGGGTGTAGAGATAGCCCTGAATTGCCCCCAGGTATTTAGGAATGAAATGGAGGCCAGTGAAATCAACTAATAGTTACTTTTCATATTTCAAATTATTTTGAGTCAATGGTTTTTAATAATTTGGTGATTTTCTTCTAGTTTTCTATACTTGAAATTTGATTATGTTGTTTTAGATTCATATACACATTTATCAAAGAGGTAAAGTTTTATGTCTTTTGAAATTTTTCATTAGTTTTCACTGTTAAATTTTTGATGCAAGCAGCTGGACTACATGTTTTTTTAATGCTAATTTCACTTATTTGAGTTTCTAGTTTTTTGATAGCATTTTTTTAGAGTATGACTGATTCAAACAGAAATTGTCAACTAATTTGTGATTTTAGTTATTTAATTTCTTAATAGCAAACTAAACAAACGAAATTTAAAAAGTTTTAGGTTTTAAAAGAAATAGGTCTTATAAAAGATATAGGTCTTTCTCAGGTCTTTTTCATGTGGTTATATGTATATCTATGGTAAGATTAAAACTGGAAAATGGAGAAAGTAGTTAGGAGGAAAACCAGCCTCTTCTGCCCTTTCTCCCCATGCCTTCCTGCCTCACTTCTTTTCTCTAGCTCCTTGCCTTGTTCCTCTCTCTCGTCATGATTCATCACTGTACTTTCCTGCTTCTTTGTACGCCTGATGGTGAACATGAGGACGCTTAGTTAAGCAGTTACTGAAAATTGCCATAATTCCCCAATCCAATTTCTTGTGGGGAAATTGAGGCAGCCTACAGGCCAGGCGTTAATCTTTGCATGCCAGTGGGTAGAGAGATAGCACAGTAATTAAGTGCTTGCCTTGCATGCAGCAGTCCTGGGTTCAGTCCCTGGCACTGCATATGGTCTCCAATCAGAGATGTAAGTGGTGCAGCCCCGGGTTGTCTAAGGAGGCAGGAGTGAGCTGCAGAGGCATCTCTGGGATAAGGGGTGTTCCATGACATTTTCTCCCAAGATTTTCACTATTGCTGATTCTTAGAAAGCTATGCACCAAATAATATCAAAGGGATCTGTGATTTTAAAGACTTAGAGACTGAATGTTATACTGTAAGTCTGAGGCTTGGTAAGTTTAAGGTTAGCCTGCCCTAATGGGTGATTGTTGCCTTGGTTCTCACCTTAGAGTTGGTTCATCTAAAAAAAAAAAAACAGAGGGTTGTGAAGACACTATTTATATCTGGGGAAAGAAAATTAAAGATGAATCTCAAACCCATAACTTTTTTTAAATGCTTATTTATTTATTTATTTATTTTTATTAGTGAGACATCATGAGGTACAGTTGCAGACTTACAAATTTTGGTGCTTGGGTTTCAATTATACAATGATAAAATACCCATCCCTCCACCAGTGCCCATTTCCCACCACCACGGATCCCAGTATCCCTCTCCCCCATCTCCCCCCCAACAGTCCCACCCTGCCTCTGTGGCAGGGCATTCCCTTTTGTTCTCTCTCTCTTATTGGGTGTTGTGGTTTGCAAAAGAGGCAATGAAACCCATAACTTTTCTAAATGTCAGTTTTCTAGACTTGAAATAATATAAAACTATTCTCAGGTAGCTTTGGAAAACATGGAAAAGAAAGACAATTCCCTATTAACAGCAAATCTTTATTTTCATTTGATTTTCAAAAGAATAGTAGTTTAAATTCTGATGCTATATTTTTAAATAAAAACAAAGTTTTACAATCTTGGTACTGTAGAAAAGAACAAACTAAAATGTGTATTTCAAGCCAGCTTCCCATTACTTAACTTCTCTTTGGAATAAAGTGGGAATCTACACATCCACCCCCCCAACAAATAGTGATTTGTGTGCTGGTCTGCTAATTAGTATGGTTATGTCCCGTTTTGTTGATGAGGCTTAAATAAATGTCAAGGGTACAGCCATGAAGATCTCCCAATTAGGCTTCACATTTGTAAAACCCAACCCTTTTCCCTTTTGTGTGAAGATGACAGTTCCAGCAACAGCCCCAGCCTAACAGGACTCCAGGGAAAGGATCTTCCTCCGGTTTTATTGAAAACAGGGCCAGTTGGGTCCAGTGAGAATAGTGCCACCGGTCATGGTGCAGAACTGCTTTAATCTTACTTGCATACCTCTTTCATCCATCTTATTTTCAAACAAAATACTGTAGACTTAGTGGAAAATGTTTAGTCTGTCAGCTAAAAGCATAATTTAAAATATTTTCTTTTAAAAATATTAGTCTTCTAAGAATGGGAAATTCTTTTCGTATGCGAAATTTATGCAAACCTAAGATCTTTCTCACTCTTTTTTTTTTCATTCTTAGACCTTCTTTGCCTGTGTTAGTGATTTTAATGTGTACCTGCATGAGTTACACACATACACACACATACACACCAACTGGACCAGACTAGTGAAGTACACACAGGAGCGTAGCTGTATTACAATCAACATTAACAGATGGATGGCCCTAAGCAAAGCAGAGCCAGTGCAACAAAATCTAGGGAAAGTGGAGGACTGAAGCTTTTTGTTGTTAAACCCTATTAAAACCCTGGCAAATGTAGCACTCTTAACTATTTCATGACTGGAACAAATAGCAATCTTCCAAGATTTATTTGCATCCAAATTTTATAAAACTTGCATGGGAAAATCCGAACAGAATTTTTTCCATTTGTATTCCAGTTTAAGCATTGCACCTATTGCTAAATAGTTGTACATTGAACGGAGTGAAGATTTTAACCCAATATAATGTTTATAGATAGAAATCAAATATTTTAAGGTATCATTTCTACTAGTGAGTCTAGGTACTGTTGAATTAGTGGAAGTTTATTTTATTCTTTCTAAAATATATTGACATAGAGACGAATAGGTTGATGTGTAAATAGTTATCTTTAAAAATACACAAATAGGGAAGATGTTTGCACCCTAAAATATGATTTGTGTGACAGGCTTTCCACAGCAGGTGTGGAGAATGGTTCACAGATGCAAAGAATCATTGGTTTGTTATTTTCCAATTTTTGACAATCACTGGTCTGTTATTTTCCAGTTTTGCCCATTATACGTGGTGATACGCACATTCAAAATGAAGCTTTGCTGTCTTTTTGAGTCCTTTTGTACTTAATGGTTTATAAATCATCCTAATAGATGAGCTCATTTTGTTATTAATGAGTAGTATCGTTTTATCTCTGAAGGTGTTCTCGTGAGTTTTAAGGGTACTTTAGCATTTAGAAGTTTGCATGTAGAGATTTTAAAGTCATGCTTTGGCTGAGCAAAGACTTTTTAAAAAAAATCCAAATATGTAAACATGTTCTTAAAAATAAGAGCAATCAGGTAGTTTACATTTTTGTATAATAAATCTCATATTTTAAGTTGCTTAAATGTTTCTGTGAAATTTATAAGATTAAAAATGTAGATTCTTTGAATTACCTTTCATAAAAGTAGTAATTAATAGGTCATTCACACCTACCTTGTAGGAAGTGATTTGTAGAATTATGTTTATGACACATTTTTCTTCATTGGAATTCAGTGGACTGTAGGAGTAAAATGAATGTAATTAAAGACACTGTTCCTTGCTCAGGTGATATAATATAGACTTCAGAAAATGACATGTTTGTTAAGATCACTGGAAAAATACAACCTATTGAGTAGTTATGTTTTATTAGTGAAAAAATAAATGGAATATTCATTGTTTGGAGAAAGAACCAGCTTCTTGCTTCTCCAGGCCGAGAAAAATTAAATTTCACATTGTAAATTACAGTGTGAAAAAGATAATGGATAATGGCATGAGGGGGGTGGGAAGTGTGTGTGCAAAGAAGAAAGCACAGGTAATTAGAAAGAATGCTCACCATAAATTAATAAGTTTGGTTAGATCATAATCAGCAAAAAATCTTACTTTTATTGTTGGAATGTTATTTGACTCAGTTTTGATAATATTACTATTCTGATTTAGCTAAAATGTTGAAGTGATAAACCTATTAGAAAGTTTCAAAGCCTAAAAGTTTTCTGAAATAAATTAAATGAATGTATTTCTATTAAAAGACATCCACCAAAACAACTACCTAAATGAAAGCTTATTT